CGCCTATCGGCAAAAGTTCCTTATTAGGCCACGCTGTCCCATTACCATGGCGACATTCAACGTCCGCACTCTAAGACAAACAGGTCAGCAGGCTGCACTCGCACGCACCTTAGACACACTGGGTGTTGATGTGTGTTGTGTGTCCGAAACTAGGATTAATGACCCTAACGGGGTTATTGAATTGACTGCACCCGGCTTATCCTCTCGTTATTGGTTGCACGCATCCGGAGACGCCGATGCGGCACTCACGGGTCAAGCTGGTGTAGGTATCATTCTCAGCTCCAAGGCTGAGTCATCGTTGGTTGATTGGATTCCGGTGAACAGCCGTTTATGTGCAGCCCGTTTGACTACATCAGCTAAGGTGAATTCGCGAAGTAAAACAAAACGCTGTTTGTTTGTGATTTCTGCTTATGCTCCCACGGACTGCAGTTCTAATGCAGTCAAGGACACTTTCTATCACGAACTGAACACGCTGCTACGCAGTGCTACTAGTTCAGATATTGTAGTACTTGCAGGGGATATGAACGCACAAGTAGGGCGTCTGAGCTCTTCAGAAGCTCAGCTGGGTGGTAAGTATGGACTTAACGCCGAACGGACTGACAACGGCGAGCGTCTGCTGCAACTGTGTGCGGAGCACCAGTTGTTTCTTACTAGCACTGCTTTTAGACACAGTGGGCGCCGAAGTGCCACTTGGCGTCCACCTGTAGCTGGTCAGCGATGGACCCAAATTGACCACATAGCCATAAGTTACAGGTGGCGCGGTTCCATTCTGGATTGCCGCTCATACTGGAGTACCTGTGTCGACTCTGACCATGCCTTGGTGCGCTGTCGTTTCTCCATGAACTTTACCGGAAGGCGCACAAAGCGTCTCCCCCGATTGGCAACGGAGAAATTGTCCCAGCCCTCTGTCAGGCAAGCCTATCAAGAAGCACTGCATAGCGAACTCTCGCTGTCTTGTCCTAATGACACTGAACTTCAGTGGAATAGGATCTCGGCCGCTATGCACGACGCAGGAGCATCTGCTTGTGGCACTATCAGTCGTCATCGCACCAGTCACTGGATATCCGAGAGGTCCGTGAACCTTTTGGAAGCTAGAAGGCACCTCCCGGCTGGTTCTGAACACAATGTGACCAGACGGGCTATTAGGCGTGAACTAAAGCGGAGCCTACGTGCTGACAAGGAAGCCTGGTGGACCAGTCGGGCTCAAGAAATGGAGGAGGCAGGAGCAGTAGGCAATTACCGGAAGCTCTTCCAGCTAATCCGCACCACTGGTCCGAGGAAACCAGGCGTCAGTGAGACAATCAGGGACAGCGCGGGTGCGCTGATACACAATAAGGAGCGCCGTATGGCTCGTTGGGCTGAGCACTTTGAACATCAGTTCAGCTGGCCCCCTGCTCCCGGACCTCTTCCTACTCAGGTGATGCAGGACGAGCCATGGACGGTTAGTTTAGAGCCTCCGTCGGAGGCCGAGGTCCGAAACGCGATCACAGCCCTCAATCGTTTTCGTGCCGCTGGCCCGGATTCCCTACCACCTGCACTATTTAAGGATGGAGGTGAGGTCCTCTGCAAAGCACTGACCTCCCTATTCGAACGTATCTGGAACGAAGAGAGTGTGCCGGCTAATTGGAGCGAATCGATTATAGTGGCAATATACAAAAAGGGCAGTCGCACAGACTGTGCGAACCACAGGGGTATTAGCCTAACGCCAGTTGTGACAAAATTACTGGCCTCGATTATCGTTCGTCGTCTCACTGCAGAACGGGAATCTCGGATTAGAGAAGAGCAGGCCGGTTTTCGCCCAGGACGTGGCTGTATAGACCATATATTTACTTTGCGGCAGGTGCTAGAGCAGCGCCACGCATACCGCAGACCGACAATAGCTGTGTTCCTCGATTTCAAGAGTGCGTTCGATTCAGTCGATCGATCGATTCTGTTCGAAATACTTGCGCGAAAGGTGTTCCCACGAAATATGTGAACATCCTTCGTGCTCTATACTCGAACACTAGAGGCCGCGTCAGGGTCTATGGTGCCCTATCGGATAGCTTTTCGACTACAAGTGGCGTTCGACAGGGTTGTCCGATTTCCCCATTTTTGTTCAATTTCGTCGTGGATTCTATCATGGAGTGTTCCCTTGCGGAATCTCACGATGTAGGTGTTGAAGTGCTGCCTGGTGAACGGTTAGTTGATCTAGATTATGCGGACGATATCGTCTTGCTTTTCGACAATGTTGAGGCGGCACAATCAACCCTGAATAGCCTATCCAGAGTGGTCCCATTATTTGGTATGCACTTCGCACCTTCAAAGTGCAAAGTGTTGCTGCAGGACCACCAGCCACTCGATGACCCCTTGACGCTTGCTAACGAGGAACTCGAGATGGTTGATCAATTCACTTATCTTGGCAGCTGCATCAGCAATGATGGGCGCATAGAAACTGACGTGAGCTCACCATTGCATAAAGGGGCATGGGCGCGTGATATATGTGTAGGAAGTTCTATGTGGCCTGTCTTGAGATGAACCTGTCGGTCATGCTATGGCGGACAGAAGGGGCGGTGTTCGTACTCACTTCCGTCTGAACAGCATATCCAGGTTGTTTAATACAGAAATAGCCACAAGTGAGAGGGACCGTTTTCTGGCTTTATGGTAGAGTGAGCAGCTAGGGTCCCGTACCTATTATTAAGCGTGGTACGTCCGTGAAGCATTCTGAGCGACACCTTATCGTAATGACTTTTAGGTATTGCACACTTTAATTATACAACTCATCGACTGTTAGTAAGTACTGTGTATTGCGCGTTGTGGAATGCATTCACAGTGGTTGTAATACGTCGTTATATTGTCGAGAGTTAAAATGGCACTCGTCATAGAGTTATCTCGCGTAAGGTGCCGTCAAATCGATGATGTGCGCTAGGCGAAGTATCAGGATTTAGTTTTCGTCTTGATAGGAGGTGGATATCTCTGGAGGGTGTGCTGTGGACAGCTAGATCGCTAGAACAACAGATAGACACTGTTAACAAGAAGATTGCGTACATACGTTGGGCTCGGATGTTGGCACGTAGCTAAGGCGGTGGCAGATGAGGTACGTAGTGGTAGTCGGGCCTATTGAGTGAAGATACAATCACGGGGGGAAGAGTGCATTTTACAGGGTCGCCAACAAGTTAGGAAGCCGTGTCGCATTTGGATATCATGTTTAGTGGGGGGGGTGTGGAATCACTAAGATTGAGATGAACGCCGTGAGGTTGAGCAGCTGACCTAGAGAGGCTCGGGAGAGCGTGGAACAAGTGAAAGGTGGGGGGTGAGGACACTATCTAGGGTCGGAGTGGCGGGGGGATAAATGAAAGTCACTGATGGCGCAGCAGGAGGGACCTCGAAGACTCGATATGACAGGGGGGGAGTGGGTGGAGAAGGGGGTGTGTGATATGGGTGAGTGATGGGGTGGTTAGTTGGTGGTAGGTGGTGCTAAGTTCGTCTTATCAGGTCGCGTCGAGCGATAGGGTGGGTCAGTGCAAGGTTAGATGCTATTCCCCGGGTTGGAAGCCCATCGCTGACTGACTCGGGCGCGGTCTGTATAAGGGTGCTTAGGGCCTCGGAGGGGAGCTGGGGACTATTATGTCACAGGGACAAGAGGTGTCTCTGGCAACCCGGAGCGAGACATCAGCCAGGATTGACTGTCGTTGGAATTTGGGCTGCCGTGTAGCTCCTAGAATTGATGGTCAGATTGATCTGTTGTGAGCGAGTGTGGTAGTATGATGCACAGGAGTTATCTGTGGACTGGTGGGGGTAATGTGCTGAATGACTATGACGGGGCGTGGACAGGTCTTGAAAGCCTAGCAAGGTATAGTTCTGTTAGGCGGGTCTGCCGTGGAGGTTGGGAAGGCGTGCCTGACGCCGTTGGTCCACATAATTGAGCTATTACAGGCACGCGGGATAAGCCAGCTGTTTAGGATGTCTGTGACGGAAACTTGTATGTTGGATCTACAACAAGTTTGGGGGATATTAGGCGACCTTGACCCTGAAATGTTTTGCTTAGTGGCGTTAAGGATTTCGCAGGTAAGGATCCCCACTTCCCCTGCTCCCTCTCCTTAATAAGTTTCTTTATTTCAAAGTGTCCTCATGGTTTGTCATGGCAGCGAAGCATCAGTTCAAATAGCTGAGGTACTTGCTGTAGAGATGATGATGATGATAACGACTTCAGCCAAAGCAATTTCGACCAAAGTCAATCATGAAGTGTCTTCTAGACAGATTATTGGTCGATGTGGTGTCGGCAGGATCGTTACCATCGAAGGATCCCATGAATTTCCTCGTTGGGAAGAACGTGGAGGGTACAAGGTGGACGGCCAATCCTAACCGATTGGTATCCCTCGACCCAGTGGTGTATACCTCAAGGATACGGTACTGTGGACGCCACTCTGTTTCTCAATCCACATCAATCGAGCTGTTGCGGCCCCACCTTCTACAAAACGGGGGGGGGGGGGGGTCGCCGTGATGGCAATGTTTGCGCGGGATGGACCCTCAAAATTTGGCGAGAAATTAAGTCACTCTCTCCCCGATGACTGATGAACAAAAAAATGACATTCTCCCAACAAGACCTCGACCGAACCTCTCGCAGTAAATAGTTCTGCTTGGGGGGTGGGAAAAAAAGTCCCACCCTACCGAGTCACCAACCCGGCAACAACGGTACCCTGATTCATCGAATCACTCGGGCCCGGGGAAGGCCTATGTTTATCAACCCAACTTGGCCGAACGATACACCCTCTAGAATAGTACGGGGGGCCAAACATCCACTACATCCACCACACATGGCCACATCACCTCAACCGTCCCACAACCCTACACAAAAACACACGTCTTACCGTTGAAAAGACCCAGGGTGGGTCTCTATACTTGGAGATATGGGATCCTACAGATTCACTCTCACGTGGGCTGCCGGACTTGAAGTCCCGTCGACAAAAAAAAGAAACACCTACAAACTGTCATAACAAAAGAAACCATCAACAAAAGATTGGTTAATCTGCGAACAGGCGGAAGACAACGGACATGGCGCTCAACTTCGGCTGCTTGCATGCTTTGGGTCGCCCGCGACTGAAGCAGAAAGAAAAAGCGGCGGCAAGAGAAACAGAAACATGGGGATCAAATTCAAAGCTTCTCCCACTGGCTCTCTGGGAGGCCGCCAACGCCCGCCACTCTCTTGCTAACTCTATCTTCTTCTCATCGTCCCATTTCCCTCTGCACAACATCCACGTCCACATATGGGACGGAGAAGGTGACCGGAGCACTCGACACCACGGAGGGTCGCCACACATTCTATTTCGGGGCTCGCTTCCTTCCCCCCCTTCCCCCTCCCCTCCCCCCCCCCCCCCCCACCCCCCCCCCCCCCCCCCACTCCCCCCCCCCCCGCTATCCCTCACTTCCCCCACACTTTCCCCCAACGCAGAAAAGCGCGAGGGAAACCAATGCTAGAAGTATACGAAACGACACCGGGGGTCTGTGTAGCAGCCCCGGGAGCGAGCTCACTCGGCAAAAGCCTGCCAATCCTGGGTCCGTCGATCGAGAGATCACCAAGTTCCGTAATGACTCGTCGCGTCGCCGCACGGGGCCGGGCCGTTCGGGGAAAGGGACAGTTGCAAGTGGGCCCGCGACGCTTGCCAGGCGAGACTCCGGACGAAGCGCAAAAAGAAAAAAAAAAAATTTTGCGGAACGAGGTACAACACAACAGAAAACAACAAAAAAATAAAAAGACCATCACGACAACAACCTCCACCAACCAAAACAAATGGACGCACCCGTGAAGGAGTGACTAGCCCCAATGCCCGGGGTAAGTATCGGCCGCCCCACATACCTGCCAAACGATAACCAAGTTTTGAAATTTTATCCCCAGCCTGAGGAGCTTAATCGGTGATAGCTTGACCCCCCGTGGGAGCCATGACCCAATAGGAACCAGACTATACTACACACTTGGACGGTAACCCGGAGGCGCCACCGGACCCGTGGCGAGGTTTCAGAGTGGAATGCTCTATCATCTGGGCAGTGGCCGCACAAGGAACAGGGGACCTACCTCTGTAATTTTACATTCATCGGTGTCATTTTCCCCCCCCACTCGATCCGGAGGTCCGTTACTCTCCACTTGCGCGGGAAGTTCTACCCCCGACGCCACGGGCACACGCATCCGCAATACTTCGAACGCGCAAGGCTGGAACCCTGGGCACAGGTACAAAAACTCGGGCGGGGGTGGTAAACCATGATCTGAAGAAAATCCCACACCCCCTGTGTTTCGAGCGGAGGGTTGTGCACGCCTGGAACAGTCTGCCAGAACACGTCGTCGAGGCCGAATCTGTGCAGAAATTCAAATCTTTGTTGGATTTGCACTTCGCTAACATACGTTTCAGAGAACGGTTGCCACTTGACAACGATATCACCCACTTGTGTCTCACTCTGTGAACAAGCATTTTGTGTGCTACATAGGGAGTTGCTGAACTATCTCAGGATAACCACCGGACGTCTTTATTTTTTTATTTTTATTTTAAATGTTTTTTGATTATCACTCGATGGAGTTGTACAGAATTATTTTCTACTTGCTCCAAAATACAGTATTCAGTATTCAATGGACAGGGTATACAATGCTTCCGTCCGTGCAGTACTCTTGTACGGCTGTGAGACTTGGCCTATTCGCTCGGAAGATATGAAGCGGTTGTCAGTCTTCGACAATCGCTGTCTACGAAGGATTGCTCACGTGTGGTGGTAACACCACGTAAGCAACGCAGACCTGCGGGACCGCGTGCTTGGGGCGAATAGTGCGTCTTCAGGATGTTATTCTCCGACATCGCAAGGTTTGGCTCGAGCACGTTTTGCGCATGCCAGCCGATCACCTTCCACCTCGAGCGCTATTTGCACTCCCAGGGAGCGGTTGGGAAAAGTGCCGCGGTGGACAGCCGATGACGTGGAGAAGAAGTATGAGGAAAGCGACCTCAAGTTTGGCGGCAGTCGGACCAGTCCGCCTTCCATGTTGGGGACCACGAGGTGCTGAATTGCAGTGGTTGGAAACATTGGACGTCATGGCCCGCAACAAACATCAGTGGCGGCAATGTTGTTCCGCAGTTTCACCATCCCTTTGATGCACACAAAACTCACAAAACAAAAAATACAAAATGGCGCGTGTAAAACCAAAAGAATCGTTTCCCATATTTTTTAATCGCATTAGTGTTCCCATCTTCTTCACATTTTTCTTCCGTGGTTCTGATGACACAATGTCTGTTAACAGACTGAATAAATATATATTCATATACTAACTCGTCCTCCATTCTACAACCATATATGTAACTTATCCCATAATACAATTGGCTTAGTACCACAACGTATAGAAAATACAGTAAACACGAAGATAGAAGGGGGAAACGATGTTCATGGGAATAGTGCGTCACAACAAGCCCGCCATTGTGCACAGTTTCTCGCCATATCCAAGACCGTTTCCAGCCATGTGTTCTGCATCCTTCACACTCCAGCCAGAGAGCCGAGAGCGCCCGACCACGGCTAACTTTGACGTTAGCTCCTTCATGCTACTGGCCCAAGTCATGCGTTGGCTACCTCGCTTTCGCTTCCAGCTGACGTCTGCGTGCGCGAAGAGGGCATGGCGAGGTAAGCGATGAGTAGGCATGCAAAGAACATGCCCAAGCCAAGAAGGCCACAAGTAGGAATTTCAGTGTGGTGGTTACTACGCCGTTCTTTCAGTGTCTTAACAGCTGACATCTTTGTGAAGCTGTTTTCAGCTTTCATTCAGTCTCATCTAAATGTTGCGTCCAGCCTTTGCTCGCCCTGCCTCTTTCGGGACAAAATGAACCTTGAGAGGTTTTCGCAAGCAGGTACCAAGTTGGTCGGTGGGTTACGGGGACAAACGTTCCCCGAGCGTGTCTACGTAGCTTGGGTATGTATTCAGTGCGCTACCAATGGTTTCGAGGAGAATTAATCCTTACTTACCACATTTTAATAGGAGAGGTTGAATCGGACTTGAGCTGGCTATTTAGCCCGGCTAGGTTGGCTTGTCTTCGCGGTCATTCCAAGAAGTTGCGCAAGCCTCGTTCCGACCGGATCATGGCGGAATCTCGTTTATCGCGTAGTTCTTGAACGCTGGAACTCGCTTCCAAAAAATGTAGTCAGTGGACCTGCGGTTAAGGGTTTCGAACGCCAGACGCTTTTGGGTGACAACACGAAACCTTTTCCTTCTCCTGACCACATCTGTCTTTCAATTTGTAGTTCATATGCTGTGCTCCTTCTCACACTTTGGTATTATCCTTCATATAAATAACTCCTTCCTCTTTATCTTCCACTTTCTTTCTACCTATTTCTTACTTTGTATGACCTGCACAGCGGGGACTGTTATTGCAGCGAACGTGGGCAGTGATATGTTGACCAGGGTGTGGTACGGGTATTTCGTTAAAATCCATCAAGACCTCATAGCATCTTATCATTTCCTAGCTGAACGACGCGCTCAAGAAGGTACATTCAAGGGATTTTCTTATCCTTCCAGTCCCAACTGAATCGAAATCTGATGGCCAATGTTTCCTCTGTCGACGTGGCAGGAGTGGCTCTCCCCGTTTGCATGTGAGTTGAGACTAGAAGCTAAATGCCTATCAAAATACACGGAATGGCCAACTATTGGGGAGTTTAAAACGGGGGTATAAAATTGAAGTTGGTATGAGATGATAATAGTGAGACAGCGTAAGAGGGGTAATTAGAAGACGGCAAAGCTTGGGCAGTAGCATCTAATCCCCTATCTAGCCTGCTTTGATACAGCAGGTAGAACGCCGTTTATTATCCTCTACAACGGCTAGAGCATCAAACAATTGTTTAAGGAGAGGTTCATAGTATTGCGTGGGCAGGATGCTGTCAGGTTGTCCAGGTCTAAGCAGAACGATTAGGGTTCTCAACCAATGCTTTTTGTTCAAAGACCTGGTTGCTAGGCAACGGGTTCGGCAGTGGGTTACAGTTAGTCCGTTTCAAGAAATAAAGATTCACGTTCACTCTAAACCCCAACCTGGAGGATCAGCAGGCTCAGTTCGTTTAACCTCTAACCATAGACCCATCTGGTACGAGTGGATCTGAAGGTGCATAAGCACCACCCAGCATAGCTCATTGGCTCTCTGAGGCACGCAAACAATCGCACCACGGTAAGGTCTAGGCTCGGAAGGCTCAGCTGAAAAACATTAATAAAATAAAAAAACGTCGGTGGTATCCTGAGATGGTTCAGCAACTCCTGTAGCACACAAAATGCTTGTTTACACAGCAAGTCACAAGTGGGTGATATCGTTGTCAAGTGGCAACCGTTCTCTGAAACGTATGTTAGCGAAGTGTAAATCCAACAAAGATTTGAATTTCTGCACAGATTCGGCCTCGACGACGTGTTCTGGCAGACTGTTCCAGGCGTGCACAACCCTCCGCTCGAAACACAGGGGGTGTGGGATTTTCTTCAGAACAGGTACCACGAGTTTGTACCTGTGCCCACGTGTGGTGCATGGAACTCGCAAGTGGAGTAACGACCTTAGCATGGGGAAATGACCGAGATGTAAAATACAGTAGGACATGATAAGATCCACTCGAACACAGCGATATGACAAGGTGTAGAGTCCAAGGTTCATGCACCGGTTTTCATACGATAAGCACCTCAGGCTGGGGATCAACTTGGTGGCGGTGTTGCACATGACAGCCCACCGACTCCCGCGACGGGCGTTGTTTGCGCGCCGGGAGTGTGGATGGAAGAATAGAAGGGGTGACCAAATCCTGACTTGGTCGAGAGCAATGAACGCCGTTACTACGACCTTGACTTCGGTTGGAGCCTCTCGGCTCCCTGGTATTGGTTCGAAAAACGAACACGTTTGACTGGATACCCTTGTTGTTATGGATAGGAGCCGACCTCAATGGCGTTCGTGTTGAGTTTCTTTGTCCCTTCTTATCCCTCCAGTCGCGATCACATCTCTTAGCCTAATACAAATTTTACCTAACAACATTTTTTACTGCATAGTAGCCGGCTGGTAGCTTCCCGCAACGATGCCCATCCGTTACTAGTAGCTCAGTTGGCGTGCACCTGTTCTAGGTTTTATCTCTTTTATGTATTGCCTCACAATAGCTGAGTTGTTTTCCACTCCTAGCTAAGATGTGTAATGATGATGAATGTTCTGTTTTCCTTACCTTCCTGTTTTGTTCAGCGGCCATCACTCGTGCTTATTCTCACTGTCCATTGATATCAGGCTCGATAAAAGCCTTCTAGCGTGGTCTGTATGTGTCACATCCAATTCGAATTGGTCCACTCTTTCCGAGACCAAATTGTGATTAGTGGGTATTAAGTAGTGCCAAATCCCCCTGATCGGTAGGATGTCACGGATAGTTTCATAAAGTGATGCGAGGTTGCTCTTACTCTTTTTTGTCTTTGTAAAACTGAAGAAGTTTGGTGTCGAATTACCGGGGTCCTTGTTTGCTTGCTTACCGGCACACGAAACGGAACGCTCTTTATGTGAAGGGCTGTTTCTTTCCTGGAGACTGACCTGATTTGACCCACCGACAGTTATAATAATAGCATCCAGCTCGCCACGATGTGTTAGCTAGTCGCACGTTTCACTTATTGTGGTTTCTTACTAGGTGGTTGTGGTATGAACATCCAGCCACCTGCGAGGTATTTGTTTTGTATTGCAACCCTTTTGGGTTCTGAGATGACCTACGTACGCATTAGATACGGAAGCCTTCGGAATCATCAACCGAACATATTCTACCGTCCATTTGTAGCAAGTTCAAACTTTATCTGTAACAAACCACCAGATAAAATATATAAATAAGTCGCCAGCTGTACGCTGTTACGCCACTTCGCTACCACGCTATCGCCACCAGTCGCGCGCGTGTTGAGTATACCGCGAGGACGCCCACCCTTACGCGGATTCGAATCGGTGACCTAATGGTTGCAAACCAGGCGCGCAGACCATTCGGCCACCGGCCTTTAACGCTATTGTCATTTCCTCTTTTTTGCATCCCCATTTTGTTTTGGTGTCGTTTGATTAGCCTCGCTGGCGCACACTGAGTGTCCCATGAGCGAAGAATGAGCACCCGATGGGCGTCCGAGTGGCAAAATATTGTGTCACTCAGCGGGCGCTCATCGAGAAAATTTGAGCAACACTCCCCTTCGAG